ACCCACACACACACACACACACACACACGCACACACACACAGGGGGCACTCTGCAAGTGTTGTAAGCTGCTTTGCTCAAGTACCGAGACGGGGCAAGGGTTGTCGCTGTGGCAATTATCAGAGTTTGTGATTGTGTGTGTGTCTGTGTTCGTTGAGGCGTGCGCATATTTATGGCGCCCAGTGTGTAGCAAAATGTGTGTTGCCTAATTTCGGGCGCATTCATTGATTAATCGCAAGTGTAGCAAATTGTGGCTGTGTTCGATTAATTAACTACCTGACTAGCCGTGGTTAGCCGTGGCTAACTGTGGCCCCGCCCACAACTTGATCGATTTGCAAACGCCCTTTGGCTTTAGCCTTAACCCTCTTTTGTCACTCAAGCGCTTCTTTTGTCATCGTCAACCGACTTTAACCCCTCCCCCCCCCCACCCGTCGTCTTCTTTCGTGTTTGTGTTTTGTGTTTCAAGTTTAATTGTCTTGTCTTTGGCTTTGGCCCTATCGATTTCACATTGCATTACCAACAATTGGGTTAGCCAGGCTAAAATATTTTAATTGCAAAACTTTTAAAGAGCCCGAAGCTGCCCGAAGCTGTCAAAATTCATGCACAAAACGTGTCTAGATAAATGGCTATTCCCAGCTGTGGTCCCTCTGTTGTTGTTTCCCAGCCTAAAATGGCTTTTATCAATTCCCCAGAGAAGATGCGCAGATGCCACTTAGCTGGAAGCCAGCACAGATCCGGCTCCGACTTAGGGTCGGACTGGTGCCAGGAGCTGGGCGACGCAACATTATTCTCGCCTCCATAATCGTAAATATAAAGCATGTACATTACACCGAAGTTGGTTGGAGAAAATGGCGAAACTTTAATGTACTCTACACAAAGGCTATTTCGATTTTGTCACGAAATGTGCAACGCATACAAATTGACCTATTTTCAATCAAAAGCTAGATAAATTCTTGGAGAGTATCTAAAGATAAACTATATATATTCTTGGAGAGTAGCTAAAGATGAGCTAGATATATTCTTGGAGAGTTGCTAAAGATAAGCTAGATATATTCTTGGAGAGTTGCTAAAGATAAGCTAGATATAGGGAGAGTTTCTAAAGATAGGCTATATATATTCTTGGAGAATAGCTAAAGATGAGCTATACATATTCTTGGAGAGTTTCTAAAGATAAGCTATATATATTCTTGGAGAGTAGCTAAAGGTAAGCTATATATAGTCTTGGAGAGTTTCTAAAGATAAGCTAGATATATTTTGGAGAGTAGCTAAAGATAAGCTATATATATTCTTGGAGAGTAGCTAAAAATAAGCTATATATATTCTTGGAGAGTAGCTAAAAATAAGCTATATATATTCTTGGAGAGTATCAATAGATGAGAAGTCTCCTAGTTCTGTGACTTTCTTGATATAATTTGGAATAGACCCAACTATTTTATGCATATTATTTAATAAATAGAACGTTATATATTATCTATCTATCTATCTATCTATCTATCTATCTATCTATCTATCTATCTATCTATCTATCTATCTATCTACCTATCTATCTTTCTATCTATCTATTTATCTATCTATCTATCTATCTATCTATCTATCTACCATCTATCATTAACAAAGTGTTTGCAAAATTGATATCTTAATCAAGCTCAAGATATCTTAAATGGAAATCAAACCATTATGACCTTTACTTAGTTGACCTTTATAAGCTTTGCTCTAGGACTAGTAACTATAGTTGAGCACTCATTTTTTTTCTTTATTTCTCTAGGGTATTCAATCTTCGACCAGAGCCAGAGATAATTGCTAATTCTTCCTTTCCTCCTAATGGCACCACGAGGCGTATACGTGGCCTCTTTAGCTGCACGCACGATAAATCAAAACATTAACTGGGCGTGGCTAGAGGCGTATACAGCCTCTCCTCGTTACCCCCCCCCCCCCCTTCGTTTTTTTCTAGGATATGTGCCTCGGACAGCTTTGCTTACAAATTGATTTGCTCGTAAATAACGTCTATTGCTTTTCCTTCTTCGCCCGACAAATAAATTACCTTTATGTTCGGCATTTGCTGAACTACATTCATATTGTGCTAGATAGTTTTCTTTTTTCGCAGTCTAGTTAATTTAGTTGGCAAGCTGATTAATGGCATTTCTTGCCAGCTAGTTCGGGGTCTTATCACACGGCAAGCTTTAAGCAAAGCCAAAAAAAAATGTGAACATTTGTCGCGCCGAAAAATGCCTTCCAATCAACAACACCATCAGCGACCGGTTTACAACTTTTACGACTTTTGATGCGGCTGCTGACACAAGCAGCACGTTTCCTCCAAGTACTTTTGATACCCACTAAAAATGGCTGAGAAGGGCATATTGATTCTTGTGCGAATTTGTGTAGCAAGAGGCAAGCCTGCAAGTCTTTCATATTCACGATTAGAGCGTCGAACAGAGTCGATGTTTGTTTGGGCTTGGTACAGGGTATCTGCTAGCTGAGAAGGGCATATTGTTTCTTGTGCGAATTTGTGTGACAAGCAGAAGGAAGAAGTCATCTCCAGGCCTGTAAAGCAGGGACTTAGTCCATGTTCGTCTGTCCATCTGCAGCTAGAGCACCTTCTTACAGGGTATATGCTAGCCGTTCACTCTGTTTGATGTCGACTGGCTTCAACCCTCGAGCTGCTGCTGCTGCTGCTGGTTGCGGTCTCTGGTCTCTGGTCTGGCTGGGCGGGTCGTTCTCGTTTTATCGGGCAGCATCTAGACAAATGCGTTACTTGTTTCTCGTTTTTGGCTTATTACGAGCTACCTTCCTTTGGCGGCCTTCGTCAGGCTTTGTCTCAGCGTCCTCGCTGAGGTCCTTTCCAACCCCTGCGAATATATATATGTGTGGTCCTTCCGTCCCCCTTTTTGTTTTGACAAGCAACCGCGATGAACACATCAGCGTTACAAACGCGTCTACAAGGGCAAACAAGGCAAACAATCTAATGACGAGGCATTCCTCGCCCTCTCCTTACACACACACACAAACACACACACCAAATACATACATATCTGTGTGTTTATCTTTGTGTTTGTGTGGCAAATTTATATTTATTGGCTTCATTATGCAGCAGCCACAGCAGCAGCAGCAGCAGCAGCCGGGCAAATTCTTTGCTCAGGTGTTTGTCTTCTTCATAAAGTTGAGCTAGATATTTTTGCCAAGAGATATTTCAGCTTTTAATGATTTAACGAGAAACCACACACACACACACCGACACACGCACACAAATTTAATTAGCTTTTGCAATCTAATAATGTAGTTTTCTTTAGGAACGAGCAATATTTAATTGATATTAAATACACAATTTTTTCATGGATTAAATAATTATGATAAATTATTTTTATATTAAATACCCAATTTGTTTTCATGGATTAAATAATTAAGATAAATTATTTGCAGTATTACAGAAGAAGAAAAACTGGGCTCTACTTAAAAATTTAAATGTCAAAATTTCTGTTTAAACTATAATAATTTTACAATATTTTTAATGATTTTTAAATATCATTTATATTTATTTTGAAAATTAATAAATTAGGATAAAAGTACTAAGAAACTACTTGATTGATATTAAATACCAATTTATTTTCGAAGATTAAATAAATAAAATAAACTTTTCAGAGAAATTATTTGCAGCATCATAGAAGAAAAACTAGAATCCAATAAAAAATATAAATGGAAAGTTTTGTGTTTAAATTATAATCGGATGCTTTAAAATATTTCTAATTGTTTTTAAATATCATTTTTATTTAGTTTTCAAAATTAATAAATTAAGATAAATTGTTTTAAGAAAACTACTTGAAAAAGAAAAACTCTAAGTTTTCTGTCAACTAAAAGCTGAAAATATTATTTTTTCTAATCCAATGCGTATTTTATTTAAAAATATATCACAAATTTAAATATTCCAAAATATTTCAAATCGCTTTAGTTCTCGTCGCTTCTCTTCTACAAAAACTACTTTCGATATTTGTAAAATAATATAATACAATTACTTTCCAATTTCTACAATATTTTCAATTTTAGAAACAATCAATAAGTTTCTCAGAGAACTTATTTCGAATATCTATAAAAAGCGAACTGAAAAATTATATTAAATGGTATTTATTAAAATTCCCAACTTGTTATAAAAATTAATAACAAATTGATGGAAAATTTTATGTATTATTTGTCCTTCGTCCTCTAACAAAAAATGGATAAAAAATGGATAAATGAAAATAAAACTCTTAAAATAATACAAATAATATTATTCGAAAATTGCAAGTTTGTTTTTAATTTGATTTCCCAAATAATATTCTCAGATATTCACTTGATTTTCAGACGCACAAAATATAAATCTTAAAATAATAAAAATAATATTAATCGAAGACTTTATTTTCAATTTGATTTCCCATATAATATTATCAGATATTCACTTGAGGCGCAGAAAATAAAACTCTTAAAATAATAAAATTTATATTAATCAAAAGTTTCTTTTCAAATTGATTTCCTCAATAATATTCTCAGATATTCACTTGAGGCGTAGAAAATAAAACTCTTAAATCAATACAAAAAATATTAATCAAAAGTTTTTGTTTTAATTTGATTTCCCAAATAATATTCTCGGCTATAGATTACATAAGAACAAGAAGCGCGCACGCTTCTCGCCGCTGACACGTTAAAAGTCCAACTGTAAATGTTCCACTTCCATTTCGTACCACCGTCAAAAACGAAACGAAACGAAACGAAGCGAAACGAACTGTACATGTGGGCCATAAAGCAAATGTGTGTCTATCCACACCTTGGGAACTGTAGCAAGTGTGTAAATGAGAGTGTGTGTGTGTGTGTGTGTGTGTGTGTATGTGTGGTTTTGTGTGTGAGGACGAAACACTTGTGTTTGTATATGAGAAGTTGTTTAATTTGAATTAAATGCGAATATCCTCAGCGATTGTCAGGTTATGTAAGACTTGGACTTGGGAGAATATTCTGTGTGATTTATGGTGGAGCTCACCTGTATCGGTGCCAGGTGTAATATTGCTGAGGCGGTGGGTGAGAAAGCCGCGCAAATTGGAGACAACGCGCTGCGGCGAATTTGGCCCGCTGCCAATCGAGAAGCTACGCAATTTGGAGAACAGGGCCGCCGACTCCGCGCCACTGCCCGCGGCGCTGCTGTTGCTCTCGTTGGACGCCACGTTTCAGGCGGACTCAGATGCTCCTCTGGACCAGGAAGGCGAAAGCTCTCCTAGATTTTCCGTGTTATGTAAAAACTAAACAACGGACACACGTCGGAGGAGGAGTAGGAGCAGGACGAAGCCAACGACCGAACACAAGTATACCACGAACACGCCCGGATTTGCCCGCTTTGAGAATTTGTTTTTTTAATGAGTTATTTAATTTTGAAACTTTTTGTTAATTTTTTGCAAATTTTCAATTGTGTTTTCTCTGGTTTTTTGGGCGGCCGACGACAACGACAGCAATGCGGCAGCGTGCGTTGTGTCGTCCGGGCAGGAGCAAAGGTAACTTCTGTCTGGCCTGGCGCTGCTCGCCTCGCGCTGCTGCTGCTGCTATACCGTTATTTTTTTTGTCGGTATTCAGCCTGGAATTCGAAGCTCTGCCGTGCGACGTTCCACGGCGCAGGACATCACGCATGCGCCTCCATTTCCCAGCCAACCAATTGGCTGCCTGACTGACTGACACCCTTTCCCCTCCGTCTGCCCCTGGCGAGGCTTTTCTCTCGCCCAGTTGAGCACATTTGAATAAAATTCTATTCGCGCTGCGTCGTCGTCGTTGTCGTTGCCTTTGCCTCTGGCTTTGGCTCGCTTTTTGTTTTGTGCCCACGCAGAAGAAAATCAATTTTCACCTGTCTAGGCATTTTTCTTTATATATTTTTGTTTCTGCTGCTCCTACTTCTTCTTTTTCTCTATTTCGTAGCATACTTTTTGGCGCTTGCATAATTTTTTAATTTTTTTTTTTATATTTTTTTTTTAGTTAATTTGTTTATATTGCATCAGAGATAGCTCAAGAAAATCAATTTTCACCTTTCTTTATAATTTCTTTATATATTTTTTCTATGTGCTTTTTTTTGTTTCTGCCACTTTTTCTAATTTTCATGTGTCGTAGCATTCTTTTTGGCGCTTATTTTTTTTCTTTTCAATTAATTTGTTTATACTGTATTAAAGATAGTTCAAGAAAATCAATTTGCACTTATCTGGGCATTTTTCTTTAAAAATTTTTTGTTAGTGCATATTTTTGTTTCATCTTCCTCTTTGTTTTTCATGTGGCGTAGCATACTTTTTGGCGCTTTTATTTTTTTTTAGTTAATTTGTTTATAGTGTATCAAAAATAATATATATTTATATGACAATAAAGATAGATCAAGAAAATCAATTTTCACCTGTCTAAATAATTTCTTTATATAGTTTTTCTTTGTGCTTATTTTTGTTTCTGCTTCTTCCTCTTCTTAATTTCATGTTTCGTAGCATACTTTTTGGCGCTTATATAAGAAAACGTTTGTCGCATTTTTTCGCTATTTGCCTCAGCAATTTTCACAGTTTCTTTTAATTTCCACAAGTAAATAAACTAAAAATACTCTCGCCCTAAACTATGCTGAGTCCTGATTAATATCTGCGGTCAGAGGTAAACTGCACTGCAGCCGTACCCTCCCCCTCCCCCTCCCCCTCGCCCATCCCCCTCAACTTCCGTCCAGCCCACAAGTGGGCCTTTCTTTTGTTCGAATGTCGCACAAATTTGGCAATTTCTTTGTCATTTATCACTTGCGGGCACTTTTTAGCAATTTATCAAGATTTAGCTTGTGCTCCCGACCTCAAATGTCGCAGCTCGGTTTGTGCTCTGATTTGCCACAAAATGATGTGACACAGGTTGCCCTTGAAAACGAAATAGAATTCATTTTACCCAAATGAACCAGAATATGCTACACTCTTGGAAATCTAAAGCAGATCGGAGGACACGCTCAGGCATTAAATGCAAATATAGTTACACTCAGAGAAAATCATAGGAATATTGTACAAAATTTTAAGTGGAAACGTTGCCTGAAAACGAATTTCTTCTTTCAGACACTTTTGTTAGTTCCTATAAACGAAGAGTTAGATAATTTGTTCTTGAATTGAAAAGTTTTACGCTTTTTTAAAGCATGCAAATTCTTGTTGTACTTTATTTATTTCTTTAATAAGCTGAATCGTATGCCAAATAAGTTGGTAAGCAAAAAATGATCTGAAATTCGAATCGAAACTTAGAAAAAGAAAACCCAGCCACAAGCTTAAATAACTTGGGCCCCAAAAATGGCATACTATATCCAAGCATATGTGATATATGACAATTTTGGGTAGGGAAAAACTGGACGGACGGGCAAATAAAAAACACCTTCATCGTGTCGGAGATGCTATTAGAATTTAATTTTCATAATTTGATGTATTGAATAATTAGGAAGACACTCGTTTTTGTTGGCCACAAATAAATAAATAAATAAATAATTATTAAATAAATAAATAATTATAAAATATAGCCCGTAACTTCTCCATTGTAATATATATGAATTGCAAGACTTTCAGTAAAACGGGCAGTCAAAATATATAAATTAAAAGTGGATGTGACTTATAAGTTACTTGTGACTATATATTCTTCCCTCATTCATTCGCTGGGTAAAATAAAACATATTAACTAAGAAAAAACAAGTAAGAGGTTCTAGTCGGGAGCTGCCGACTAGGGAATACCCTGCACCCTCTTCTTCCGACAGGCGATAGGTATAAAATAAAAGATATTTGATATAAATATACTATTCTAGAAGCTAGAGCTCTAGCTCATATTATTTACCAAAACTGCTCAAAACTCCGAATTTCGATATCGATTTTTATCGATTACTTGGAAACGGGGCAAGTTATCGAATATCGGAAACAAACTCGATTTGCGCGTGGACTAGGAGGACCTACAGCTAAAATTTCTCTAGCTCTTATAGGTTTCGAGATCCTTGCGTTCATACATACGGACTGACAGACGGACATGGCTAGATCGACTCGGCTGTTGATGCTGATCAAGAATATATATACTCTATGGGGTCGTAGATGCTTCCTTCTGCCTGTTACATACATTTGCACAAATACATAATACACTTTTTTTACCCATTTTCAATGGGTTCAGGGTATAAAAAGTTTTACTTCGAGTCGTAAGCTTGACTGTTTTGTTGGTATAACTTATTTTCAGCTTAATACAATAACAAATAACTTATTTACGAAAACATATTATTGGTTTGTTAGGCAAAGAACAAAATGTAATTTGTAGAAGAAAAAACGGAATGAATTCTGCCCCATTACACAATTATTATATATTATTCATGAACTGGCCACAACTCCAATAAAAGTCCAGCCAAGGGTAAGGCTCGTTCTTTTGGCCCGACTTGTATTTCATATTATTTATGCAAATAACAATTACATAGAAAAGAGTTAAGTCCCACATGAGGAGACTTTTCCCAGTGGGGCAAAAACCGAATTGTGCTTAAAAGTGGAGCTGCATTAAGTCTGCATAAGTTCACAATCAGAGCGCAACTTCAAATTTTGGCCACGTAAAAGCAATTACGTGTGCCGAAACCAGACAAAACTATTTCCCCGAGAAAATGTAGAAAATATAGGAAAAACTTGCAATGTGCAGACGATCGATAAGGAGGCGAAAGGAGGCGAGCAACTGCCAAGGTAAATCAAGGTGTGCCTCGGCAAATGTGCGTGTGTTTTTTTGAGCCGCGACTTAAATCTAAGGCACATAGCCCGACTCTATACATAGCCGTACATAAAGGCACGTCGGGCTAACGTACTTGGTCGGAAAGTGGTTGGAAACAAGGTTATTTTGCCCGCGGCCAAGACGCGTGGGCGTGGGTGTGGGCGTGGCAGGCAGCATTGCCAAAAGCAGCCACAGAAAACACAAACAAAATGTGCACAAGACACGCAACCAAACAACAACAACAACAACAACAAGAACAAAGGAACCCAAATACAGCAGCTCCTTAACTGGCCGCAAAAGACCAAAGGCGAGCTATATATAACTCGAGCTCGAAGCTGTAAAATCCAAGGGGGAAAGGAAGGTTTTACACTCAAAGGAAATGCGTTATAGATTGTGTTAGAAATTTAGAAAAAAGACCAAGGAAATACTGCATTGCGATCTGTACTTCAAATATTACCTTTAATTTCTTCTTCAATATTCCTAAAGTAAATAGAATAAAAACAATTGTTTTTTCGAAATAAAGAAATGAGCATGTGGTAAAATATGTCTCTTACTTTTGGCTCTTTTGCTCGACATTTGTATTTTACATTATGTTAAGAACTTAACATCATGTTAAAAACTTAACAGTATGATGTAAGGAACTTAACATTTCTAGAAGAGCTGAATACAGAATTTAAAAATGTCTCTCAACTTTGGCTCTTTTGCTTGACATTTTTATTTAACATTATGGTAAAAACTTAACATAATGTTAACAACTAAACTTCATGTTAAAAACGTAACTTTCTAATAGAGCTGCGTAGAGAATTTCAAAAATGTCTCCTAATTCTAATTTTTCTGCTCGACATTTTTATGTTACATAATGTTAAAAACGTAACATTCAGTTATATAACCGTAACATCATGTTAAAAACTTAACGTTTCTAGAAGAGCTGCGTACATTATTTAAGAAATGACTCCTTATTTTGGGTCTATTGCTCGACGTTTTTAATTTACATATTACTCAAAACTTAACATCATGTTAAAAACTTAACAGCGCGTTAAAAACTTAACATTTATGGAAGGGTTGCGTACAGATTTCAATTTCAAACTAAGTGCAATCAAAAAATGATTTTCCCACATACGTTTGGCTCTTTTCCTCGACATTTTTATTTTACATAATAGTATAAACTTAACAAAATGTTAAACACTTAACAGCATGTTAAAAACTTAACATTCCTGGAAGAGCTGTATACAGAATTTAATTGTAATTTCTAATTTTAATTGATTTTCTCTGAGTGTAAATGGAAATATCTCTGACTTTGGCAGCTTTGTCGATCGATTTGCACAGCACTTAAATTTAATTCAATTTTAATTTAGAGCTAATTATTTGGCTCTAAAGATTCTGTACAGCAATTACCCAAAATGGAAATGGGCTGGGATGACAGTTGATGAGCCACGCGCAGATACATTCGTGTAATTAATCTTTTATT